AAAACGTGAAATATGTGAAATCATATAATCAATACATGGAATATATATATATATATATATATATATATATATACATACATATATACAGTCCCTGACAAAAGTCTTGCCACTTATCCATTTTATCATTTTATAGAAACAAAAGCTTATAACCTGACTTTAAATTAATCGATTGGTTTTAGAAATGTCTCATATGAAAGCTAAAACCCTCCCAAATTATGCTCAATATACTAAAATAAATTTGCTTCACTGAAGAAAGATTGATCATTTAATGAACACAGAAAGGTCAGATTTTGGCAAGACAAAAGTCTTGTCGCCTACAGAAAACTGAACAAATAATTTACTTCAAATACAAAAATATGTTGCATAACGTCAGTGAATTAAGTAGTGGTGCTGTGAGATCCATATTTAATATCTTGTATGACTTCCATGAGCTTGAAGGACGCATCCATGCAGTTCGACAATGATTCATACAATTTGTTGAAGTCATCAGGAATAGCAAAGAAAGCGTCTTACATGCCTCCCAGAGTTCATCAAGATTCTTTGGTTTTGTCTTCCATGTTTCCTCTTTCATTCTACCCCAGACATGCTCAATGATGTTCATGTCTGGTGACTGGGCTGGCCAGTCCTGGAGCACCTTGATCTACTTCACCTTCAGAAATTTTGATGTAGAGATAGAAGTATGCGATGGAGCACCATCCTGCTGCAAAATTTGACCCCTTTTATGGTTGGGAATGTAAGAGGTAGCTAATACTTCTTGATATTTTAGGTTATTGATATTGCCTTCCACCCTGCAAATGTCTCACACACCCCCATACTGGATGTAACCCCAGACCATGATTTTTCCGCCACCAAACTTAACTGTTTTCTGGGTGAATCTTGGATCCACGCAGGCTCCAGTAGGTCTCCTGCAATATTTGCGGCGGCTGTGATGTAATTCAACCGAGGATTCATGTGAGAAATCCACCTTCTGCCACTTTTCCAGTGTCCATCCTTTTATCAGGCTGTGGGTCTTGGCAAATGCCACATGGTTTTTAATTGCCTTTTGTTTAGTGCTGGTTTCTGTGCACTGATTCGACCATGGAGGCCAGAAATAGAGAGACAGAAATCTACAAACTGTTGTGGTTTACACAGGGACTTGAGGTGACCAGGCCTGGTGGAGCTCTGCTGCAGTGGAAAAGTTGCTGGCCTTGGATTGTCGAATCAACAAACGGTCCTCCTGAGCAGTTGTCTCGCGGGGTCTGCCGGACCTGGGCTTGTCAAAAACATCTCCAGTCATTTCAGATCTTTTTCTTATTCTTTGTACTTGACGCTGAGACACATTGAAGGTGTCATTCACCTCAGCAGTGGATCTGGTCTTCAGCCTCTTGATAATTAACGCTTTGGTCTCAGGGTGGATCTTAGGCATGTTGTCAGAGGTCAAGTTGCAGTTGATGTGAAGGTCTGGTGTGCTGGGGTTCTTTTTATACACACCCACTAATTGATTGATCAGTAACTGATCACAGGTGAGGCAGTAATCTAGGATTGGGTGCATCATATGACAAGGCGACAAGACTTTCGTCTTGCCAAAATCTGACCTTTCTGTGTTCATTAAATGATAAATCTTTCTTCAGTGAAGCAAATTTATTTTAGTATATTGAGCATAATTTGGGAGGGTTTTAGCTTTCATATGAGACATTTCTAAAACCAATCGATTAATTTAAAGTCAGGTTATAAGCTTTTGTTTCTACAAAATGGATAAGCGACAAGACTTTTGTCAGGGACTGTGTATATATACATATATATATATATATATCTATATATATATATATATATATATGTATGAGGGAAGGCTGTTATAACATGGATTTCATGTAATATGTTTATTTTAACATCCAAATATCCAAAAATAGAGGAGTTATTGTTGGTTGTGTACTGCAGTGTTGGAGGAGTAACCTCGGGTGAGCCTCTGGTTTGACAGGCCGTCATCTGTGCGCTGTCTGTTCTCTATGCGCCTCTGTAATCACACTGTCAGCTGTCATGGTGTGTTGTTGTGTGTTGCTGTGCACAGGATCGGCTCCAGTTTATCCCAGAACGTGATGATGGACTACACCTGTTAGAGGTATGGTCACAAAAAAAAATCATCAACATATAAGGGACTGTATTAGTATACATGGTTAGGGCTGAGTAATATGCCATAAAGTAATCTTAATAGAGCCTAGATCAGAATGATCTTTTAAAACAACTCTTGTATCTTTCTTTAAGAAGTAAATGATTCATTTGAGAGGTCACATTTCACTGTGAAATGAAAAAAAAATGAAGAAAGTGTCTGTTTAAGAACTACATTAAACAGAGAAACACTGATTCAACATTTGAAAATATAATCAAAATAGTGCATGATCTTAGGGTGTCTAAATCAGGAATAATGAATCATTGGCCATAATTAATCAAAATTTGATTAATTTGGCATTATTATGAAGAATGTGTCACACTTTTTTTTAGCACAGTAATAGGATGGATATTGTTTGGTAACTATGGGATAACTGTCTTGGATTAGAAAATATTGTAGAAAGTATCATTTCAGATGATTCTTGTTTTTATAGTGTGCCAGGATTGCACGTTCGGCTACTGTATACCGTATAATCATATTTACCTTGTCTATTACTGTGCTGTCAAATAAAGTTCTATCAAAAATGGGTATATCAGTTTATTTACATATAATGAAAACCAAAGTCTTATAATGTCATTCAGAACAGAATATTAAGTATTCTCAAACACAGCTGTAACTTTGATTAGAAATGGTGTTAGAAATATACCACATTAGTTGAATTGTGCTGAGAACTATGCCTTTGACCTTTTGCGATTAAAAATAGAAGCTCCCTTAAAAATATCCCATTACTCTCCATGTAATAGTTGCTTATTGTGGCATAAAGGTGTATACCAGTATTTCCAAATGTATCCTTTAGATGCATGTGCCTGCTTTATCCAGTCTCTGTAATTATTTTCTCATTTCTCTTTAATCCTTTTGTCATGGCGAGGGTGTGTTTTGGTGGGGGGTCAAGTGAACTCAGGTCAATCATGTCAAGTATTTTAATAAGATTCAGTTGTGAGGATTACACATGCACTGATACCTGTTACTTACTCATTTTAGTTTACCAGATGTAAAGACATAGTTTTTTTTTTTTTTAGCAAATTTTATTACATTTAATTGTGTCATTTTAATTAAATTTGTGTTGTATTTTTAGTTATTACATTTGAATTGTTATATGTTTGTATGCTGACCATTCCCTGATTGAAAGATTAAATGTGTTTCCATTTATGTTCATTTTTTTGTGTTATTATTGTTTTCTTAACTTCTCTTTTCATTGCTCTGGAAAGAACTTTAAGGACAAAATGTTGCAGGTATTTCTGTTCATGCACTGTTTTTGTCTCTTAATTTGTGTTTGTTTTGTATTCCATCGTAGCTTGTAGATTTTAATCAGTTTGAATGACACAATAATCACTATACATAAAGCTCTCCTTAAACAGTTTACTTACATTTGGAAATCAATCATTTTTTGCATGCTGGTTTAGTATGTAAATAAATGTAGCATACACTGGCAATGGAACTTTGAAATCAGAACTATGGTATAAAACATGTTTTTATTTATACTAAACTTCTATTTAATAAGAGTGTGGTGTGTAAATAATATTTACTTGACCTTTTTTCTGCTACAGTTCTTTGATTAAGAGATACTCAATACCTATTAACATTTTGCTGTGTTTTCATGTTTCAGCTGTGTTATAAATTACAAGCTGTAGATACTTGTCCATGTTGGAATTAAACCACTTCCACACAACATGCTGCCCTAAGCTAAAAATGACAGAAGGAATCTCATTGCTACAGCAGTTATCTAAATCAGCACTAACAGATAAATTATTTAGTCACATCAGCAGATATCTAATGTATGTTTTCTTCTTTGTTTGTGTTGTGTGTCATAGGTTAAGTTACATGTCCTCAAGCACAAATGTTGCCTACAGATTGAGACCAACCTGCAGTTTTCCAAAGAGCTGCTAGAATTGTGTTTGCAAAAAGGAATTGTGGTTCTTTTTCAAACTGTTCAAATTAAATACTACATACACGTGTCAGCTGAACAACAACTAGAAACTGGTGAGTTGCCCATTAACACTGTCATGTTTTATATACATGTACTATTTCTGATACAGCCACATTCCTTTAGATATGCAGAGCAAATCTATTAATAACAAGCCATGTGTCTGACTTTAACTGAAAGAGACTTTGCATGTATGATACAGTTTCTATGTAAACTAGCTATTACTGTAATTGTATCTATTTGGTTTGTGCTCACATGCCTGTTAAATGTATGCAGTATTTTAAAGACCCTCAAAGATGAAAGAGCAGCTTTAATCACATCTGATCACATGTGATCACAAGGCGTATGATCAGAATAAACTAATCTTCCAGTGCCTCACATAACAGCTGTATCAGCTGTATCATCTCCTGACCAGGGCCAGACCCCATTAAAGGAACACCACTTATTCATGATCAATATCTTCCCTAATTGATCACGGGCCAGATGTATGGCACACATGCTATTTAACACATTAGTATTCTATCGGCACACAGTGCAAGCTGCACAGCTACAAGATAAGGCCTGATGTAGTCATGTAGATGTACAGGGTGTCAGAGAACAGAGGTCTGTGAAGTGCTGGAAATCCTACTTCATTTCCACTTGAAACTGTGGTTTGGAGACATATCCTCTACTCTGTTTAATGAGCTGGCATTAACATAGGTGTTTATGTATTTAAAATGCACATCCCATCTCTATATCATTATCTTGAAGTAAGTAAGTAAGTAGTGTAATTTCGGAACTTCATTTTACTCAAGATTTCAATGACAATGACAAGTATTAAAGTTTACAGAAAAGAGTATGGAAAAGATTGATACATACTTATTATATGCCATTATATGTCCATGTGCTGTAGGAAATGAGCGTGTGGCACTGATCTACTTTGTGTCAAAGAGCCGTTCAGACTGGAGACAGACAAAGACCAGACCTGCTGTCAATCAGAGAGTGCACCGTGACCACGGCTCGGCCCAGCAGCCCAAGGCAGCCCTCCTCCTCCGAGGTCGGTTCAAAATGTCACAAATTTTGTATGACTAGATTTAATGACTACATATGACATTTATTTGATATAACAATACAATTATTGTCCAACCTGTACTGTACATGTATGTAAAGATGGAGGAGGAGGCTAGCCCATCACCCAGGTCCAAGCCTCGCTACACAGGACAGGTCCGCCTTTGCACTGCCCGTTACAGGTAAAGACCAAAGTTTTTGTTTACTTAAAAAAAACAAACAAACAGATTTTAATAATATTTTTTCTATGTCCTTTTAAGTTACAACCCTTATGATGGACCAAATGAACACCCTGAAGCAGAACTCCCACTTGTGGCTGGGAAATATCTGTATATTTATGGCAACATGGACGATGATGGCTTTTATGAAGGTAGGCATAAAATATATTTTTATATTTTATTACAAATTGGATTTCTCAAATAGTTACCACAAGTCTGGTAGACACCATTAATTCTGATTTCTTTAATCTTTCACACATTTCACAATTTATAAATATAGATCTTGTTAATTTACTCTTTGTAAGTGGTGACTGATGCTCTATCTGACTAATCTCTTTGAGTTATGAGCGCTTCTCCATCACAATCAATCCTAATCCCTACAGCGAGCAATCCAGACGTCATTTTACGCTGAAGACATAGTACAACTCATCTGCTGTGATTCATTAGCCGTGGGCGGTGAGGTAGCATGGCATTGTGGAGGAGCCTTGTGTTATGACGAAGGAGAGAGAAGCAGGCTTCAGACCAAGCTGTTGTCAAGATGGGACCTTGGTCGCTTTTAGCCTGATGACTAATCCAGCAGGGCACAGTTTAATCATGTGCACACATATACTGCACACACTGCAAATACATAGGCACACACAGATGGCCTCTGTGCCTCCAGAGAAAACTACCCTGACGGACAAGAAAGATTTTCAATGCAGACATGCTCCCTTTGGCTACACTGTACAGTACAAGCCCCTTTCCCCCAAACAAACATGCTTTGATTTTAGTCTATTGCCTGTCAAAGAAAAATCTTAAAATTCCGAAATATGGTTTCAGATAATGTCATGTACATAGGGTAAATTACATAACATATTATGTAACCATTTGAATAGCCTAAATTGTTTAAATTTGTAGTTTCTATGACTATGTTAGTCTTGCATGTAGGTGTTATAATAATATAACACTGATTGTCTGTTTCTAAGAACTATTTTTTACATATTTAGGAGAGCTGCTGGATGGCCAACGTGGGCTGGTTCCATCCAACTTTGTGGAGTTTGTCCAGGACAAAGAAAAGCCAGCAGCAGGTGAAGGAGGAGAAGACCTGGGATCACTGGAGCATACCTCATCCCTCAGTCTGACTGCAGTGGACAGTAGTGCTTCTCAGGAGGGCCTCCTGAGCTCGTGCAAAGCCTTGGTCCCCTGTAGCAATGGGACAGGAGAGGCCCTGGACCCTGAGGACCTGGCAGAAGATGTAGTGCCTTATCCCCGAAAGATTAATTTGATAAAACAGCTGGCACGCAGTGTCATAGTGGCCTGGGAACCTCCGATAGTGCCTTTGGGCTGGGGGAACATCTCTGGCTACAACGTGTTGGTCGATGGGGAACTTCGTGCTAGTGTCCAATATGGTGGCAGGACCAAGTGTCTTCTGGAGAAGTTAGACCTGGACGGGTGTGTCCATCGTGTGTGTGTACAGTGTGTCACTGACAGAGGCTTCTCCGATGAGCTGCGCTGCACTTTGTTGGTTGGGGCCAATGTAGTGGTAGCGCCTTCTGGTCTGAGGGTGGACGACATCCAGCGGGACACTGCTGAGCTCTCTTGGTTGCCAAGCAACAGTAACTATTCCCACACAGTATTCTTAGATGGGGTGGAGCATGCAGTGGTAAAGGCTGGAAGATATAGATTACGTTTTCACAACTTGAAGCCCCTCACAGTCTACAAAGTGATTGTGGTGGCACAGCCACACCAGGTGCCATGGCAACTGCCTCTTGAGCAGAGAGAGAGGAAAGAAGCTGGAGTGGAGTTCTGCACACAAGCAGCAGGTTTGTCATGATCTAAACATAAAAGAGTTATGAAGGGTGCAGTATGCTGTAGTAGTACTTTCACAGAACATTGTCTTACTATGTCATGTATGTTGTGTATTCTGTTTAGGTCCGATTCCATTTTGCAGAACAGGTCAGGATAAATCAACACATTTTAAACTGGGTTAAACATTCAAAATATTTTCTAGAAAACACAAGACACAGTATGATATTAGTACTAAGTATTGTTTGCACTGCAGTATAGTGGTTTCACTCCTTCCATATTGTGACTTTGACATACCTATGGATCAACAAATGTAGACAATATTTGTGCAAAGCGACTCTCTGAAAATGCTTTTTTAACAAATGCATGTACAAATACAGCCAATGGACAAATAGATTGATGTCATTGCTTTGCCACTTTGAACAAATGTTGTATTTGCAATGAGCCTTGATCATCTGAGTAGATGAAAATACCAAAAGACACGATCCTTAGAAATTAAAATGAGTAATTTCAGCCTTTAGCTCACTTAGAAAAACACCTCTCACTGTAGTGACTATTTTGTATCTGTGTTGAATTAGCTTCTGCATGAATGCAGATGTGCATGTTTTATCCACTGACCCAGGAGACTAAGCAACAAAGCACAGGCTCTAGTTAGTCTGGCTGGATTGTGTCCTGCATGCATTGACAATGGTGGTGTGAAACCTACATTGTTCAACAAAGACATCTTAGTGCAATTCAGCACTACAGCTCAAATGTAACAGTAAATCCCAATGTGCACTTATGAGAATAGCTGCTACTAACACTATTTGGTTTTACCTACTAGGCACTAGGTCACGAAATGCAGAATCATATCATGCACAGCATACTGTGTGCATATGACTTTGTGAACCCTACCAGCTTAAAATGGCACCCAGTATGAAGCTCATCATTAGATCTTAAAACAAAAGCAGCATGTTCTGACTTGTTGTACCTTTTATAATCATCAAATATTTGTCCTTTGCATGGTTGTATCTCCCCATCTGTTCGTTGGATAAAAATGTCTGTCAGTCCAATATTTTAATTTTGTGTGTTAGAACAATTAAAACATCTTATGAAAGATGCATGGCTCATAGGTGTTGTCTGACTGTGCAGGCCCACCTCTGCCACCCCAGGACGTCCAGGTGCACTGTGGACAGGCCCCAGGAGTCCTGCAAGTCCGCTGGAAGCCCCCCATTCTCTCCCCCACTGGCACTTCCAATGGGGCAAATGTCATCGGTTACGTTGTATGCACAAAAGGACAAAAGGTGAGAAAGTAAGAATCTGTAGTTAGACAAGAAGTATTAATATGCCCTTTATTAGCTTTTGTTATACAAAATTATTAGTAGTACACCCATAGCTAATACAGTTGTAACCTTCAGTAGACAGGGTAATTATTAATAAGAAGATTAGGATATATAGCACTGGTGGGGTGCCTTTTAAAGTAAATGACATTATGTCATCGGATTTGGAAATTCACACAGCACTGCCACCTACCTGCATTTCATAAACTGCACAAATCATTTTGTGTCAAAAAATAGAAAGCCCTCTAATACCCTCTAGTGGACAAACATATGTAATATTAAAAGACTAAAACTCAACTGGATTATATCAGTGTACAATAATGACTACTTTCAGTAAACAAGATGGCAAACATGGCAAACCATCCCCACCTAGAGTTTATATTATGCAGAGACAATTAATTTCTTTTTCATTTAAAAAATAAATAAGTGTGCCTTCTTCTTTTTTTCAGGATAGCATTTTGGAATAATTGTGCTTTTGTTATATTCTCTCTTTTTTTTATTCAGATTGCTGAGGTCATGTTCCCAATGGCTGACTATGTCACAGTTGAGCTAAACAGGATTCAGTGCCTGGAGGCCCGGGAAGTCATAGTTCGGACACTGTCTTTACAGGGAGAATCCCAGGACTCACAAGTTGCTGTCATTCCAAACAACCTGCTTGTGCCTCCCCCTCAACTGGCCCTGCCACCTCCCATGCACCCCCACCCGGGGCCTCCTCCACATGGCCCACCCCTCCTCCAATCGCCACATCTTCCTCACCCCCAGCCTCAGTTGCCCGGACCTCCCTCAGCACATGGATCACCTCTGCCACACGGACAACCTCTACCACCCCAAGGTCCTCATCCTCCACCACCCCAAGGTCCTCACCCCCCACCACCCCAAGGGCCTCACCCCCCACACCAGGGTCCTCACCCCCCACCCCAAGGTCCTCACCCTCCTCTCCAGGGCCCTCACCCTCCACCACCCCAAGGCCCTCACCCCCCACACCAAGGCCCTCACCCTCCACCTCAGGGCCCCCACCCTCACCCTCCAACCCAGGGTCTTCACCCCCCACCCCAGGGTCCCACCCTCCACCCCCAGGCCCTCACCCCCCACACCCAGGGCCACACCCTCCTCCCCACGCACAAGCCCATCCCAGGCTTCCTCATCCAGGAGGCCCCCCACAAGCCCAGATTCGACCACCACATCCCCAACCAGTGCATCTCCAGCCACACCCGCCACACCAAGGTCCTAGGCCACAGCACCAACTGCCTCTGCTCCCACAGCACCCACCCCATCCTGTACCTCAGAGACCAGTAAGTGCCAGAGACCTAGATGCCAAAGACCCGGCAGCTCACCACAGAGGAGCTATTCCACCCGGTCAGCCTGGCTGGGACCCACAACGCTCCCCCTCCGCTCAGCCGCCTCCATTACAAGGCCACACGCTGGAAGCCCCTCCCCACCCGAATCCTCGATCACCCTCTCCACAGCGGATATTACCACAGCCACGCGGGACTCTTATCCCAGACACTGTTGCCAAAGCTATTGCCAGAGAAGCAGCACAAAGGGTGGCAGCTGAGAGTGGCAAGGTTTGATTTATACATTAATAAAAGCTATCAAACCAAAATGTGTCGTAAAGCTCTGGTGACAAAAACAATTAGCTGTTTCTATCAGGCCTGTATCATCAATATGTTGAAACTTTGTTGCTGTGACAGAGATAAACTATAAACTGAATGATAAAATGATTCTTTTATCCCCTTTCTCCACACATGAAATCCTTTATACTTATTTAAGATGTGAAAAGCTAAGAGCTAAAATACACAAAATAGAAAATAAAAAGTCTCTTATTAACTTCTTTATTGTGTTTGCAGGGGGAGAGGAGGCCAGTCAGATACGGAGAGCAGGGTCAGTCATTTCATCCGCATCACTCTGATGAAGAGGAGGAGGATGAAGAAGGCTTTGGCCGCTGCCGCAGGAGGGGGCCTTCTGTGGATGAGTTTCTGAGAGGATCAGAGCTGGGCAGGCCGGTAAGAGAAGTACTGATGCACTGGGAGTTTTCTGGAGAAAACTGTGTGCTCAGCGTTGTGTTTGAGTGTGGGCATGTGCATGTTAGGGTAGTGCATGCTTTCACCCTCTGCCTCTGTCTCTGTACGTCTCTCCTGTACCCATCTTTGTGTGCGCTCATATTATTGTGTGCATGTTTTTCTGTGGACTTACACAATGATGTCTGTGTGTTTGTGTTTGTTTGTGTGACTGCCAAAAGCCTCACTATAGTCACAATGAGGAGTATCACAGCGAGAGCAGCCGGGGCTCTGACCTGTCTGACATCATGGAAGAGGATGAGGAGGAGCTGTACTCTGAGATGCAGCTGGACGAAGGACGTCGGCGCAACTCGCACAACACGCCCAAGGTGCTGTTGTTTGCCCTTACTCTCAACCCAACAGTCTTTACTGTGATGGCACAGACTCTTACGTATGAACTGATGCCCTGACTACTACTTAGATCTGTTGATTTATGAAGTACTTCTATCAGGTAGAAGTAGAATATAAATTGGTTGCTAACAACGGGTTGAAGGTTTGGAGATAGACTTAAGATTAAATTATATTTTTTTGAGCTTTGAATTTATATTTAGATAGATTAGGTGGTGATAATGTGCTTGGGATTATAAATATTATTATATTATCAGAAATTTAGTGAAGTGAATCCTTTATATGCATGCTTTCCCATAAATTCAGTAGAGGTTAAAATGCTACTCTATATTATGGCCATGTCCACATTATGTACGGAATACTATTTTATTTCGATACTTAATTTAATTGCAAAGTATTACATACAAAATAGTGTGGACATAGCTCCTTATCTTGAATTTTTATATATATATATATATATATATATATATATATTTTTTTTTTCTTTAATATCCTGGCAAAGAAATGGTTACATTGACCCAAGCACAGCAGGCTGTCACTACTTGATTTAATTACTCAGATCTGATAGTATTTCCTGATAATTTCCCTCAGGCTCGTGCTTGTGTTTGTGTCTGCTGTATGCGTCTGTGTTTCAGTGTGCCTGCTTGTGAGCGCTGCATGGTTTGTTTAAACACTGTATGTACTTTGTCTCAAAGTGCTTATCCACACACACTGTGCCAATACTGTCTGTCCACAGCCCTTAGTGACATGTGAGTGTTTGTGAATGTTCCTCTGCTTATCTTTTTCCAGGGAAACAACGTAGGTCGACACGACCGGGAGCCAGGCAGAAGAGTCCAGCACAGTGGTCCTCAGAGGCGGCCCCTTATGGTGCCCTCCATTGGTCAGTAGAGACGTTTCGGATCCTGCTCAGATAAAGATGTCTTCCATAGTGTTGTACTGTGTGTAAAGTCTCATAAACCTATTGTCTTTGTGTGTTTATGAACCATGCTCATACCATTGCTATAATACAGTCAAAATGGTGACCACAAACAAGTACTTATAGAAGTCCAGGTTGAGACTGTTAAGAGCTAACAAAGCGGTGGCATATTTGATGGGACGTTTTCTCTGTGACGTGATCACACTGTGATTGGTGTTGTTGTCCTGTAGAGGTTACCTCTGAGAATAGTGAGGGCACTCTGACTCCCGTCACTGACGATGTTTACTATGGCAAAGGCCGCCACAGGACGCGCTCCTCCCGCAGGCACAAGGGCAGTGCCAGGTCTTCCCATGGTACGTCCTAATGCCCACAGTCCTGATTTAAGCACCACAGCACAGCGAGCAGAGGCCAGGAGCTGTGGACACATGCCAGTGCCTGCCTCAAATGAATAATAAATATTATTATTATGCTTCCAGTTGAACAGCATGACTACACTGCACTGAAATGATAGAGCCACTTGTGAGCCAGTCCCGTGGTTCAGGATGAATTTTCCACGGTTGTGGATGAAACATGCACAGAGAATGCCTCACTGCACTAAAACTCCAGATGCCTGCTAAACCCATTCCCTAGTGGTACAACTGCACCACACCTGTGACTGGAGCATTCATGCATGCTTTGTAAACGTACTGGCTATAAACAATACCCAGCATTCACTAAGGATCTATAATATAGGCATATACTTATGATGTTTGTTGGTGATGCAGAAGACATCTCCTGTTTTTATGTCATGGAGGCATCACAATAAAACATCTAGTTTCACATTTTGCTTGTTTATTTGCAAGTGACACAGTTATATGTTTCTTTTATCAGTAGATACCTTGTGTCACTTGCATGTGTCTTGTGTGTTGCTGATATTGAGCTCATGATATAGTTAAATGTGTGCACCATTATTTGTCTAACTGCTCATTTGTTTTGCATTGAATGTATTAGATGTTTATTGGTAATCAAGTGTCTATTATATTGTATGTAGCAGTTGCATTTGTTTTTATTCAGATAATTATAATAGTGGCGACTTTGCATGCAGATGTATTATAGAAATGGACTGACACTGAATTAGATTGTCAGCCTCAATCATTGTTTTGTATCATGTTTCAGATGGCTACAGAGATCGGGATCGCCGCTCACCTTATTATGATGAGTCAGAACCTGAGGAGCCATTTCGCATATTTGTGGCCCTTTTTGACTATGACCCTCTGTCTATGTCGCCAAATCCAGACGCCGCTGATGAGGAGCTACCTTTTAAAGAGGGACAGATCATCAGGGTACCAGCTAATCCTTACCATCTGTTAATATAATTACTATTTGTTTTGTGAATACTTCTTGTCACAAAAACTCAGTGTACTTTGTTAGGGAAGTTGCAAAGCTGTGACTCAAGCAGCGATAGCAACATTTCTAGCCCCTTTTCATACCTTGTCCACTCTTCCTCAATGCACTAATTAAAACCTGGATCGCTTTGGTTTGATTACAGGTTAGTGTTTGCACATTCTGAATTAAGTTATCATTCACACACAGTTTTCTTCTAATAAGACAAAAATATTATATTTGTCTTATTAGAATTTAAAAAAACAAAACAAAAACATTGTTCTTAATAATAGACTAAATAAAATTCAGAGATGTTTAGAGGTGTTAATATATGCTTATCTTTGCTCATCTTTTACCTCAGTGGGCATGGTTAAGAAAATTGTGTGATCATTTTCTGTTTCTCAGATCTATGGCGATAAAGACACGGATGGGTTCTACAGAGGAGAAGTAAGAGGGAGAATGGGGCTCATACCTTGCAACATGGTGTCAGAGATCCGCGCAGAGGATGAGGAGACTATGGACCAGCTTATCAAACAAGGCTTCCTCCCCCTCAGCACCCCTGTGGATCGAATAGGTACAATCCAAGTCATACAAATACAGCTATGAACAGTTCAAAAAGGCATATATTTACGTGACGTTTTGCTACTACAGAGCACAACAGAAAAGGCCTTCGTCGTGACCAGGCTTCAAGGAGAATGGTGGCACTGTATGACTACGATCCCAGAGAGAGCTCACCCAATGTTGATGTTGAGGTAAAGCCTACACTAAGGGCTACTTTAAAAATATTTTGTCAATCAACAAAAAATTGTGAAAATTTAAATCAGACAAATGTGACCACCTATTTAGTAATATCAGTTTATACCCTAATTTGGAAGTTTACTTTTACTCATTTTCATTTTTAATGAGCCCCTTTATGATTTTTATCACAAACAATACTACAATATATGATATTAAAATTTTACATTGCTTCAGAATAACATTCATGCTATTATTTGATGATTATGACAATCTGCCCACCTCTGCTTACTCACTTTACTTTTAAATATTAAAATAATGAATACATATAAATATAAATAATAAAATATTAATAAATATTTACTTAACTTTATACTGTAACAATTCTTAAATGTGTATTAGTAAAAATTATATACAGTGCAGGTTAATTTCTTTGACACCATTTTTATCCTCTTGTCTTCTGATAGGCTGAGCTGACCTTCTGTGCTGGTGATATCATTGCTGTGTATGGAGACATTGATGAAGATGGCTTTTATTATGTAAGCGAAGTATTTACATTCAGAGTTGATTTGTTCAGAAATTTACATTTCTAATTGTATAAATAATAGTTTTTCAAAAAAAATTTTTTAACATTTTGCATTCTATACTGTACATTTTTTGGGCACCTGCACAAGTGTAAGAATACAGCACAAGTATTTGGACATTAGCTTGGAATTGATTAGTGTGTTATATACTTTGACTTAACCAGAACAAAACGAAAGATTTAAAAAGGATTAATCTAACCTCTATCTAAACCAGGGCGAGATGAATGGCCACCGTGGTTTGGTCCCCTCAAACTTCCTGGAAGAAGTGCCTGATGACGTGGAGGTGTATTTGACTGATACTCCATCCCACTACCCCCAGGAAGAACCTGCCAACCGCCCCCCGACCAACTCGTCTGGCAGCACGGTCCCAGAGGGCAAACGGGTACATCACCATCGCCGCTCTCAGCGCTAGGGCCCTATGTCCATCCATCCTCCGTCCTCTCTCTTGATTTCCGTCTTTCGCTTCTGTGTGCTGTTCATTGTGTGTGTTTGTCCATGTGGTGACAGTGGTGACTCTTCTTACAAACTAACAACCTCTCCCTACTACTACTTCTACTACTACCCGCTCCTCTCCTCTTTGGCCCCTTCGGAAAAAGAGGGACAAAAATCCAATCAAACCCCTTTCTGAGTCTCAGACAAGGAAGAAGCAAAGCCTGACGCGGACAGAGAGACGCATTGTGGATGAGTTTTGCATGTAGCACTGGTTAAGGAGGACTTGAAAAAAACACTTCTTACACATGAGAATTTGCACTGAAACACAAAACTGAATTGTGATTATTGTGTATAAGAGTATAGGTTATTTATTATTTAATTAACACAGATTGCTATCCAGTAACTTAAATCAAAGAGGAAGCATGCCTTTTTCAAACGTACAACTTGATACATTTTATAACTTTCTTGGCTGTATTTCCTTAAAAAAAGGCTTTGTTTCTTGATGTAGATTACACACACGTCAAACAATCTATTTTTCAGCCCTGTTGTCAGTGGATTTGCCATGTTTGCTCTGAGCTCGACAGACTAAACTAACCGCAGCGCTGAGACATCCATTCTGTATTGTTATAAGTGAACAATAAAGGAAGGAGAATTGGATACTAAAAGCTCTCTCTTTGCTCTGCGTGTCCTTGTGTCGGTGTTGTTGTTGTGGTTGTTTTGAGTTCTCATAGTGGTGTGGGTTTTTACCGACAGTGAGTACGCTGCCGCATCTGATTTCTTTTTTTGTTTTTCCTCACCCGCTTGGCAAAACAAAACAAACAAAAAGAGGAAGATTGTTCATTTCACACCATAAGTGGCTCTGTCTGCCTTGTACAGTAAGTCTGCAACTTGAGATACCAAACTCAAACCATTCTAATGCACACAGCTGGTGGTCTCAAACATGGATTTTCTAATGAAAGTGCATTGCAATAAGTGATAATGTTGCTTTTTTAACTTTTATCTAAATTTAAAAATATTTTAAATGATCTATTGCACACATCTAGCTTTTGCATTAGAACAAAGACTGGTATCTACAGTTGTGTTGCTAGCTGTTGTTCTGTATTTGAGTGTACTATATGTTCCCCTCATGGCCAACCGATGGTGAACCTCTCCGGCTCTGTGATGTGTAGTGCTCAACTCAACTGTCAATGACTTCCTTTTCTCTCTTCTTCTGCATTATGTACAGTGTCTGTGTGTGATATTTTTCATTACCCTTAATGATGGATGTACTATTAATACTCTATATTTTGGTATATAGTCCAAAAATGTTTAGCTAAATATCTAAAATGAGGGCTGTATAATATATTGAATTGTATGTTAGTCGCACTCTTGTTCTCTTAGATCTATTTTAGATTGTATCTTAGATTGTATATTGATTGTGTGTGTGTGGGGGGGGGGCTTTTTAATCAAAGTATAGGTTAATTTTGTCTTCTGTGCACAGTGTTCAGAGTTCTTCTTCCTAATTCTTTTATAATTGTATATAACATAACTCAATATAGTCGTAGAAAATAGTGAATTCCTACTGTTATATTTGAAGTTTGGCATAAACATGCAGAGCCACTGTGGTTTTAGAAATGTACATGCATCAAATATTTATTTTGAATCTCTTGAATCTCTTTTTTTTGTAGCCATTATAGATCATAATTTATTTCACATGGATAGTAGAAACCATAATATCAAATGGCAAATTGCCTGTCATGGTTTTATATCTTTATAAAATTACTCCAGTCAGTACATTAGAGCATAAAGTCTCATTACATTGTGTAAACTCACATTTTTGAGAATCAGTAATACATGAACTATAAAAGCTACTGAGCCATAGAACTCAAACTTTGCTGGGTATGCCGTTTAAAGAGAAAGTTAGCAAATTAACTTTGGAAAGAGTTTAATTTTTGATGAGAAACCACTGTGCTGCATGAGTCTAGTTTCCTTTATAATCCCCTGCCCCCCATGCCTCCACACCTCCCCACTGCTTCTCTCTTCAGGTTGCCACGGAAGCCACCGACACAGTCACCAATGACAGCACGCCAGTTCGAGCACCATCCCCCATAGTGCGCCCCCTTCTGCCGGGCACCATGAGGCCCCTGAGCCCAACCAGGGGCCACCACCTCCCCATGGACCCCCGAGACCCTCAAGATCTGAACAGGAAGAAGAAAGGACTGCTGTCTAAAGGGAAGAAGCTGCTCAAGAGACTGTCACCTGTGAAATAGATAGAAGACACAACACTTCTATGGGCTCTGTACATTGCATTGACACAATCAGTACAGCAGAGTGTAATTGTCTTATGCAGTGAATTTCATTATAACCAATTCTTCATGTGCGATGACGGATATCAATCAATTGTGTACAGTAGAGTGCCAAACACAATCCCTCAGAGGTCGCACTCAGACACATGTTACTGTGATTTGACTGACATAAAAGGATGAATAAAAGAAAAATAACTAGGATTTTCATGACAAACCATAAACAACACTTAAACAACACTTACTAAACATTTGGATTTAAAAAAAAATAATAGAAAAAGTTTTCAATTTCACTTTATTTTCACATTCACATTAGACAATAAATAGGACAATCCAAGTCTCAACTAAACTCAACTTTTTATGAGAAACAATTTATAATTTTACCCAAATTGTATCTGAAGTTTGAAAATTAAAAACTGAGAAGAAACTGTCTTTAAAACCAGAACTAAATCTAAACTAGAACAGGACCAAACCAAGTCTACATCAGGACTAAACAACAGGACCAAACTAAGACCAAATCCGGATAAGTGTGATGACCAAGCCTCTGAATTAATACAATTGATATAATTGGTAAGTATATATATATATATATATATATATATATATATATATATATATATATATATATATATATATATATATATACATACGGTCCATTAGGATGATAATTCATATGTATTTCAATGTATTAGCAATTGATTTCATATTCAATTTTTTTTTTCTCTCAAATAACAGTGCATATATCCCTTGGATACATTACGTAAGCAGGGTAGCTAGGTTTACATACCAAACTGGTTTTAAATGACAAGTTGGAGCTAAGTACATCTAAATACTGTTATATCAAAGCATTTCATAAGTAATGCTGGCTGCTAACATTACACAAAGGCTTTATTTGGTGCAATATAGGTAGCATTGACAAAAATGTGTGTATTATTTAATGTGGCTCGAAGGGAGCTTTTTGATGTAAATTAGGGAGAGAAAATTGGGCATTAAACTTAAGAAGGAGCAGAACGCCAGTCGAGCTTAGTCTGTCTCTGTGGCCTTTATGAAAAAAATGAAAAAAAGATGCTGATATTCCTCATCTAATTGCAGTTGACAGTGTTGATTTTAGCGCATCCTCTCCTTCCCCTCGACTGACGGGTCTCCTCTCTCTCCGCCTAAATGTCTGTCGCTGTCAGAGCTGTCATGAAACGCCTAGTTCCAGACTAAACTGTGTGTCTATCTTCCTATCGCACAAAGGTGGGTGTTGATTGGTGAGATTTTTTGTTTTTGTTTTGGTGTGTGTGTGACTATGTATCTATGTAAGTGATGCATTCATATCGCTCACCTTTCTGTTTCTCCGGAGAGGCCATCATGTACTTCTTGTGGTTGATGTGCTGCTACCTCCACGGGCTCTTTTGTTGACTCAAGTTGACGCCCAAGGCCAAGTCAGAGCCTGTGTAAATCAATGAAGAAGGCAGATGTCAAAAAGGTTGTGTTGGCGCTTTTTGCAGAAGTGTAACTAAAGTCAAGTTTGAGTTAGATCAAGTTTGGTGGATGTGTGGGTTTTTGTGGCTGTAAAAATATAAGATATGACTCAACCGACATGCTGAATCAGAGCGGAGCTGACCCTGCTCCTGTCTTCTCTTTGGCAAGATGCTGCAGCAGATGTACACAAAGACTGGGCCCACTATCAAATTCCATTTCAGCCGTTTGGAGATTTAATGAGTTTGTTTTTGTAAGTTAACATAAAAGACCTCTGATAGAAAACACTGACTAACTTTTAAAGTGCAAAGAAAGGGGAAAGTAAGCCATATAGCGCCAGCACTTTGCTAGTGATGCTTATGGCTTATTGTAAAATTAATTATGAATAGAAAATAGATGACAGTCCAATCAAAAGACGAGTACATGCAGTCAATGACAACAATCAAAATATTCTCAGTGACTCTATTAAGGGTCAACTGGGGCACATAAGGACTTGCTATTTAATTTATATTATATAGGAAAAATATAATGATTTGGTCCATGTTTTGAAATACTACACGCAATATCATTTTAAACCCACATGCATTATTATACCTTTGATGTCTTTACAATTTGCCAATGAAAAATATGCATAAAATAAATATGTGAAATAAACGCCACTTCAACGATGTCAGTCTTAAAACACTGCCCAAGCATTCATTCACTTGAATCATTTCTTCTTTTTATGACATGTATAAGATTATATAGGTATAACTGTGAAAAAGCAAATAGGATTATATAAAGAAAAGCTGTAATCTATTGTAAAGTGAAAACTGTATGGTGGACAAAGTTTTTTTTTAGGAGAGAGCTTGTGTCATAGCTTTAATCATTTCTTGGATCTGTTGAGTTGTGTCTAATCTAGGGCTGACCCAGTTGCACAGAATATGAGTCACAGTGTATGTTATGTAAAAATAACAGGGTTCACCTCTTTGTAATGAAATGTTTGGTCTGTATATGATAGGAGCAAGTGAAAGATATGATCAATGGGGAATGTAGATTGTGCGCAGATGCCAAATGGTTTACATTTAAGTTACTTCTTCCAAAGCTATTTTTGTTCCTACATCGATTTGTCATAAGATTTGAAAATGTCTTTACACTCATTCAGTCAGCAGTGTGAGAGTATGGCCGTAGCTCTTTTGTACTCATTTGTAGATACTTTCTAAATGTTTGTACTTGATTTTACGGCAGCCTTTGTGTGCACTGACTCCTCTCCTTGTACACGTTGAGCATTTGTCTATGGTGTCTTTTGAGATCAGCTGTATCGCTCCACCGTATGTGCTTGCTTTGTGAATCCAGTTCTAAAAAAATATAAGAAGAGAGAAATCACAGAACAGTATTTATGGTGATTCAATATGTGTGGGTGTGCATGTGAAAATACAACTTTTATAACCAAAATTAAAATTTGATATTTTTTAAAACTCCTGGTCTTATGCCTGTTTTGTATCACTTGTATTACTTATGACAGAATGGTAGCAAATAAAAAATGGTATTCCGATGCCTTAAATTAAAATTATTTTGTTTCCAGCTTCATTATCCACTTCTAAACAAGTGGCAATTTGTGCTGTGTTATTTTCATCTATTTTTAAAAATTCTGTTTACTGTATTTGACAATTCTATTTACCAAAGTTTGTTTACTCTTCTGGGACAACTTAATGATTCTAATCAGCTGAATTTATATTTGTTTTCGCTAAAAAGGGAATAAAAACAAATCAAGTTAAAATAAATCCAAAACAGACTTAATAAACCCAAGCTTTCTTCATTATTTTATACCCTGGAGTAAGTTAATTGGAAAAGCAGTAATAGATTCTGCAGTGCAGTCATAGGAGCGCCGGTTCACACTTGACTGTGTATAAACAGCATGATTGATTGACTGCAAAAATGAAGTCAATTATCTGATGAGGCATAATTGGCTCATTATGATGGTGCATTCAAATACACAGCCTCCAAATGAGATTCAGCTTTTATATCAACTTGTGAGTGGTCACATTGACTTGCATTCACCAATTTCCCTCGGATGTAGAAATCATGAATGAAAAAATATGTAAATTCAAGTTTAATCCAGGCTCACACTAAGTAGTTATTTGAGACAGCCACCAATGAGCAGGCTACTGTATATACTCATAAAGAAGACATTGCATGTTTTTTTTCTGGTATTTAGTGTTAAAAGTATAACAGCATTAGATTGTTAACTTTGTTTAAGATTTAACAAGATGATTGTTTAAAATTAGTTCACTGTAATCTAAAATGTCTTAAAATTAAAAACTGGTCCATTGACTTCCCATTCAATACAACAAAACTTAAAGGCTTGCCTCGTCATACCATTCAGAGTCTGAATTTTTTAGAAAAATCACAAGTGCAGAGATGAGAGTGAGGACACAGAGGGTAGGATGGGGGTGGGATTTTTTTTGATAACATTGCTAAAGGCTCATTCAAAGTTTAATTTCAAGTTTATTATGTCCCCTTTTTCACATTTATCTATTGAAAATTGACGTTCGCAAAGGAGCTCCCACAAAATCCTAAACAGACTCAAAATTTTATCTCAGCAAAATGCATTTTTTCATTCAAAACTGATCAAGCAACTCCCAAAAGCCATCAAAACTCTCAGACTGTGGTCATTTTTCTGTGCTTTCATTCACTTTACACTCGAGATCAGAAATTTTTGTCCTACTCTCTGTGACCACAGAGAATCACTGGTTTAGTTGCCTGGCCAGCCTATACCTTATACGCTTTTCCATTACTTTTCAAACAAGATGGCAGGATGTAGGGCAGGGATCTCCAACCTGTAGCTCGGGAGCTGCCAGCAGCTCTCCACCCTCTTCCAAGTAGCTCGCCAAGGGATTTCTGAATTATACATATTGCAATGAATAAATCTAATTTGATTGATTAAGTGCCTATTTCCTTTGTAAATGTATAATTTTGATGCATAATTGTATGCATTGATAAATGGATTATGGGTTATGTTTTATAGACATCCAACTGTACCTCATCTTCAACTTACCTTGGCTTTTATATTTACAAAATTTCTGGCGACTGCTAAAATTAGTAGCTCTCTGGCATTTTCATTTTACAAAAAGTAGCTGACAGGAGGAAAAAGGTTGCAGGCCCCTCATGTAGGAGGTTCTGGCTGGTCAGGCAACTGGTGTAGTGCGGTCTCCCATTGGGGTTCACTTCGCACATATGAAATTTGAACTTTTTTTGTGTGTCTAAAACCTGTATTGTATTTTATGTAAAATATAAATGTACACATTACCAATTGCAAAGTAGATTTTGTAGTACTTGATCAAAAATATTTATGCTGAAGAAATTGTTTGTTTTTTGGTTTGAAAAGTTACTCTATGTAAAGTGCAAATTCTGCTTTCTTAAAAGTCAGTTTAATAATGCATTTCACTCAGTATTGGATACTAGATTAACACTAATTTCCACCCCCTAAAAAAATGGCATTTTCTAGACTTTTGACTGTAGAT